ATTTGTGAATTGTTATAACTGAGATGGAACCTCAATTGATGAAATTGGATTCAGATACAGATTAAAAGGGAAACAAGCTCTTTACAAACTGATATGGCTAACACAACCTTGAAATAAAAGAAAGGAACAACCAGGTAAAAGAAAGAAAAACCAGGGGACTCCAAAATTCCCCAAACTCTAGTCATTATACGCATATCTAGGGTTGGCAAAAACCTATGAAGTACTGACACTTTAAAATCTTTGACGTGTCGTGTCCGACACTTCCCGACATTCCGACACTTCCCGAAACTCCAATACTCGTTGCAAATACTCAAAAAAGATTCAAAGGTTATGTTGCGTTGCCTTTTGAGTTCCAACTATTAGATTCGTTGGATTACGATTACTGTTTTATTGAATTTAATATAAATATTTGGGATATCTTATGTTTCTTTGCAAAATTGATGGGTATTATAAGTTTAGCTTTATTTTTTTGTTAAATTATTGAACCTTAAATATAATATATACTAAATAAATTAAAAATATTATATAATATCAAAACGTGTCCTAACGTGTCGAAATTTAACATTTTTTAGAATTAACATGTCGGAGTGTCGTGTCGTATTTCGTGTCCCGTGTCGATGTCGGTGCAAAATAGGCAAAAACGAGCCAATCCGTCGGGTTGACTCGTAACCCGCCAAAAATGAGTCGGGTTGGGTTGGCAAAGGGTTGGGTTGGCAAAAATGAGCTGCCAACCCAACCCGAGTCAGCTCGGAAAAAAACGAACCAACCCGCGGGTCAAACGGGCCAGCTCGCGGGTTGAGTTTTTTTTTTTCAATATGTATAAAAATACAAAATATAATATACAAAAGAGTAAAACCTCTTTTAGGTCTCTAACAAAAAACACAGTCTCCACTTTCGTCCCTTATAAAAAAAAGTCAACTTTTGGTCCCTCTACAATTCCAGTTCTTTGAAAATGTGATCCCTCAGAAATTCAATGAAGACCCAATTTAGTCCCTGAAAAAGGACGAATATGGGTTTTTTTTTTTTGTAAGGGACGAAAATAAAGACCGTGTTTTTTGTTAAGGACTCAAAAAGGGCTTTACTCTATACAAAAATGAACAAAACTCACACATGTTGTCATCATCTTTCTTCCTTCTCTAAACCTATGTCCCTAATCTTCCCACATCTTTGCCATTTTTTTATTTTTAGAATGTGTTGGCTCTGTTTGGTTCAAATATCTTACCCACTTGATAGCAAGTGGTGCTGATTGTTTCTTGATGTTGGTGCAAATTTGTTGTGAAGAAACTCGAATATTTTGTTTTTATTTCTCATTATGTAACCCTTTGTTTAAGCTGATGGAAGCCACATAGCTGGTGCATTAATACTACAGGTTCATTTAAATAGGCTGAAAACGAGCCAACCCGCGAGCAATTTTCGAGCCAACCCGCGAGCCAATTTTCGAGCCAACTCGCAAGCTATTTTTTCAAGTCAACCCACGAGACATATTTTTGAGCCAAACCTAACCCAACTCGGATTTTCTGGCTCTCTTTTTTTTTCGAGTCAATCCTAACCCGACTCGTTTTTTTCGGGTTCCATGCGGGTTGGGCCGTTTTGCCAACCCTACACATATCCCTCTGTCACCCCCCCCCCCCGCTGCATATGACCACATTCATTATGTCCCCTCCCTTTCTATCTCCTGTAACTAACTCTCCATCTTTGCATTGCTGAAGTTGGGCCCACTTGTGCTTGTCCGTCAGACTGAAAATTGTTCTAGATGATCTCAAGGTGAGATGTGAAGGACTTACGAAGTTACACTGTGATAATAAGTCAATCATTCGTATAGCACATAACTCAGTCCAATATAGCCGAACAAAACATATTGAGATTAACTGCCACTTCATCAAAGAGGAACTAAATAACAGACTGATCACTACTCCATATATTCCTTCTGGTTATCAACTAGCTCATGTCTTGACCAAAGGACTTCCCAATAACAGATTTCAAGAACTTACCACCAAGCTAAGAATGATAAATATTCATTCCTCAGCTTGAGGAAGAGTGTCGTAAATATAAAAAATATCTGTAATATTTGTTTCCTTTATTAGTCAAATTAGTATTTCCTTATTTTTTATTCCTTTAAGCTCGTCTCTCTCTATATATATTGAATTCCTTTGTACATATTCTTTTGAAAATTAATAACATTTTTCAATTTTTCTCCTTTCAAGTCAACTAATGACCTATTCCATGTCTGGCGGCCTCACAAAGCTCTTTTTCTACCAAGTATGTGCTTTGTTTATTATTCTAGCTCCAAGACTAATTGACACTTATATTTATACTGACCACTAACAACATTCATTTGGATTAAGTTTTTCATTTTTTAGTGAATACTGAATTTTCCCATTAAGACAAGTTTCATTCCATTAGTCAGTTTCCGAAATTTTTGGAAGGAGAGATCATAGCCATGTGGAAATGCATTAGGTAAGCATTCATTTCTTGTATTTGATGGAAGCAAAACATTATTTCCAAATTTTTAGTTTGCCCTTGGATCTACTATGGGGGAAAAAAACTCTCTGGTGTGTATGGATATTTATTGGGATCTATTGTGTTTAGCTTTGCTGCATTTTCCTTCTGCTATGCTGTGCTTTCTTTATGCCAACAACTTTCACCACCACAATTACATTTCTTCCGTTGGATATTGTGCAATGTTTGCTAAGATTCAAATGCATGACCACTGAACAGATATTACAACCTTATGCTGCAGATTCTAATAAGTGAGCTGGATGACATTTTGGACTTATTGACCGAGTAGATAGTCCAGTTAATTTAATGTTATGATTTTTTCTGTAAACTTGGATGCTCTGTATTCCCTAAACTTGAAGAATGGAGTTATTATTTGAAATTGATACATTGCATCTTCATTTGAGATCTATTATGCATTGCATTTATGATTCAAAATTACCAATTTTATGTACTAAAAACCATTTCCATCTAAAACTTGGAAATGTATTCAAGTAAATAAAACTGAAATTTGAAAAAATTGGAACTCCCATATATTATACACCAAGACACGCAATGTAATTGCCAAACAATTTAAAGTAGTACTATCATCCAATCATAACATGTAAAAAATTTCATAACAATCAGCAGGTGATTATTAGGCTAATTTTTTTTGGCAATGTGCAATCTATGCCACACATTGGTGCATATGGATGAAGCATAAATTTTTGATGAAGTTTCTTTGGCACAGCAGCTGATTTGGATTAAGATTAGCCATTTGGTTTCAATCTGATTTAAAGCACAAGGCCTTTTTAAGGGGATTTCCCTAACACGGATGCAGAGGGATTGAGCACATTTACTCTTGATATTTTCATTTTTTTCTTTGTTGCTCCAGTTTTCCATTTACATTAAGGAGGATCTGTTATCCTCCAAATTCTATGCAATTATTTATCTTCTCCTCATCTTAATGAATTTCTTCTTTTTATTTAAAAACATAAATCATAAATTAACTTAATTGAAACCCTAAGCTCAACTATTCCACTAACCTACTCTGTCTTCAATAGCACTATATTGCTAGCATACAAACCATTCAATTTCCAACTCCCCAGTGGAAAAGTTTGACATGGTAAGCAAAGGATTTAAATTGTTAACAAATAATAGACAATCTTCCAACCCTGGCGGGGACTAAAAGCTTCTATAATTATGGGAATGGGACTCCTGGCTATTGAAATGAGTAACATTTATGGCCACAATACTAGTTCCTAGATTAATATTACCATTATAATGAACCATTGATTGCTTGCTTTCAAAATCTGTCCAGCTTTCTAATATTTTTGCAGTTATCATTTAGAGGATAGTGTAAATAAATGAGGCTAATAATTGAAGATATATAGCTAATGGCATGAAAAAGCTACACCCAATTCCAGATAACATATGTTTCAACTGTCTCTTCTTTTTGTGTAATCTACTGGTAGAAACGTCTACTCTTACTCAGTTGAAAAATGTGCTAACAGAGTCACTCCACTCATACTCTACAGTTGATGAACCTTTGGCTTTAAGTTTCTTTCATTTTCCTACCATCATAATCTGCCTTTCAATTTTCCTTTTGTGAAGTTTTGATCCTTGTTTCTGGATAAAAATTGTTGCTTGCTCTTTAAAGCCTTAAACCACACAGAGGCTATCAATTGTATGGCATATGAAGCTCAAAATGAAGAGAAAATATAGAAAAATAATACACTAAAAGGTTCGATTGAATGTTAAGGAGTTGAACATTAAGAATATTATCTTAAATAAAATCCTCATGCACTTGTTAATTTTATTGTAACCAGTAGCTTAGCGTAAAAGGTTCAATCAAAGGGCTGACTCAAGTTTTTTATTTTGCAATATCTATCCACATATTTTAGTTTCAGATTAACTTTCAATCCTTCTCTCAAAGTCTAACCAGAAGATGCTGATACCTTTGATGAGCTGTTAGTACCTTTGATGCTGAAATCATTGAGTGCAAAATCTCAACAAACTTGAAAGTAACCAAGAGACCAACTTGAAACATTTCCTGCCCCAAGGTTTAGCAATAAGGAAAACCCATCCAGGACTTGTAAAAAGCATAAGCAGCTGAGCTAATGCTGCATAAATTCATTTGGCGGTGGTTGGATGATTAGAGTTAATATTTTTTACCCTGGATTGGGTGGCTGGATGATTAGAGTTAATATTTTTTACCCTGGATTGGAGAGATTTATGAGTTAAAAGTAGAAACTAAAAACTTCCCGCCATGCTTTTCTTAACTGTAATGTGCATATTTTGGAGCACCTTAATTTGATGGATTGAAACTTGTCAATTACCATGCGTGGAAAGCAGTGACCAGTGTGTTGTACTCCTAAATTTTTACTTCTATTGCAAGTTGTGCTGATTTATATCTAAGCCAATAATATCATGGCCTTGATTAAATGAATTCAACTGAACTTCTGGGGTATATACATATAATCAGCTGGAAAAGTAACAAGCAGTAAAAGGTGGGCAACACTGACCGCCTTTGCAAACTCGATTCTAAGGGGGTTGCCTGCGAGGGGAAAACCTTGAAGTGATCTCATGGCATCAATGGCATCTTCATCCCTTTTAAAGTTAAGGAAAGCATAGCTGCGGCCGGGCTGGAACGCGACATTCTCCAGTGGTCCAAACCTTAAGAAATGATGAGCAAGTTCATCCTCCAAAATGTTGTGGGATAGATTCCCAACCCAAAGGTGCCTGGAAGGAGGGTTGTTGCTGTTGCCGTTGCCACGCCCGGTAACCCCATTCCCTTTATTATCTTCATATCTTGAAGTGTAATCCTTCCTAAACCTGTCCCTTCCGCCTCGACCCGACTATTGCCAAACACAATTAAAACAACAGTAAATTTCAACCTTCTTGATGATGGGAATCCCTTAATTCAGGATAAAACAATATCAATTATGTAAACGTCTTCTAAAGAAATTGTTAAATTTTATTTTAACCTTCAAATAAACCAATCCTAACACACATAAAAATCTAACTTGTCCCTGTGCTCTCTCACAAAACAAATACAACACCACCAAAACATGAATCTACAGAGAGAGAGAGAGAAAAAATGAGGAAACCAATGAACAATAGTGAAAACCAAGAAACCAGAGTCTCAAAAAAGTCCGAGTGTGATAATGATGCTTGCGTATGAAGTTGAAAGTTTGAAGTAAAGTAAGTGGATAAAAAAAAAAAAAAAAAAAAAAAAAAGAGAAACGCGATGCACATAATTGTGATTGAAGAAGTGTGGATGAAACTGACCATGGTGGAGTAGGGAAGCGGGAACCGTATGTCCGAAAAGGTACGATCTCCCTTTCCTTTGCAAATCAAGTGTACGGCATCTGCCGTGCTTAGGCACCTTCTTCCCTTCCCTAATGAAAGAGTCCACCGCCTGCGGCCAATTTCAGAAATGAACAAAGAGCGAGTTGGGAATTTCTGCTTCACAGAATTTGTGGATCGATGAAATTGAGAATGATGATGATTCGTCAGTCACCGTCGCCGAAAGAAACAATCTTGAATTTAATATTTAGGGTTTCTGAATTTTGGTAAAAATAAAAATAAAAAATTATGGAAAAATTGTTTGTCAATTTAAATGACATAAAATTATATCATTTTAAAATAGAGACAGACACAGAAAAAAATTATTTAAATTTTGAATTACAAAAAAATCATCTACTTTCCCTCTCCCATGATTTCTATTTTTTTTTTGTCTATCTCTCTCCAAAAATGATAGAACTTATGTCATTTAAAATGACAAACACCAAACCCAAAAATTATATATATAACATGAATTTATGTTTGTCATTTTAAGAAAGAGATGTACACAAAAAATTGAAATCATGGGAGGAAGAGTAAGTGGATGATTTTTTTTAATTTAAATTTTAAATAAAAAATATTATTTTATGTCTATCTCTCTTAAAATGACATAACTTTATGTCATTTAAAATGACAAATATTTTTCTCTATATACATATCAAAAATAAATAAATAAGTTATTACTTATTACCGTGTCAGGAAAAGGTTTTTTTTGGAAATACAATGAAAACTAAAGCAACATAAAAAAAGCCCTATATTGAGCACAATCTTAGGAGACTAACTCCCCTCAAGTCATTACGAAGCAATTCCAAACAAGCCGTTGGAGGGACATCCAGCACAATCAGCTGTCCATCCTGATGAGGTGCATGAGTAGCAAGCCAATCAGCAACAAAATTGTCTTCTCTATAAGTATGACTAAGCTGAATAATCCAGTCTCTTTGAAGCATGCTACGAGCTCGGATGATTAAAGCAGAAAGATGATGACTTACGTCACACCCTTTTCTTATAAATTCCAAAGCCACCTTGGAGTCACCCTCCACAAAGACTCTCCTAAATCCCTTATGCCAAGCCAGATCCATACCTGTCAAGAACCCCCAAATTTCCGCTGAAGTAGAAGTACCACTCCCAAGGAATTTTGTAAACCAGTTAACCAGTTTCCAGCAGCATCCCTTATGACTCCACCACATGCAGTCCTTTGCCCACTGTCTATGCTGGAACCATCCACATTAAGTTTAACATATCCCTCAGAGGGAAAATTCCAGTGAATAAGACTTCCTCTCTTCTAAGCTCCTGATGACCAATCTTAATAAGGGTTTCATTAGTCAATTGAATATTACCACAAGTGTAATGCGCCTAATGAGACCATACTTTGAGGTGCTAGCTTGAACCATGTCAGGAAAAGGTTATTTATACGAAAATATTTTTTTCAAAAAAATAAAATCTCAAAATTAAATAAGAGAGTAATTTTTTTAAAGATAAATTAATCTAAACACATTAAATTAAAGTATCTAATAATATATAAAACAGAAAAATATTTATGCAGTTAATGCGGATAAGTTATCTATATTTACTTCCAAAACGACGTCGTTTTGGGATTGAAAGATTAGAAAATTTTAATTATAAAGACTATAATAATCCTGAAATAAATTAAAATTACAAAAATACCATGATTTTCGTCCCAAAATAACGTCATATTGGGCTTACTGCAGAAAAAGCAAACCCTATATAAAATGATAAGATATTTTGCCTATTTTTTCTCATGTTTTTTCTGCCTACTTATTTCCAACATTATTAGATCAAAATCTTAAGAGAAGAGAGATAAGTAGGTATAAAAAAAATAAGCATAATATCTTATTTCATATATAAAGATGACATATTTTTTTCATGAATAAATTTTGTGGTTGTATGTAATTGTGTTAAAAATTTGATAGGAGGAACTTTGTTGTTGTTGGGGTCCACTCAAGCTCAATTGGACTAATTTTGCAATTGATGAATTGATGGAGAAATAAAAAAAAAATTGTGGTTGCTACTGCAAAAATTATTTTATTGGTCACTAGATTTTGTAAATGTTGTAAAACGTGTTGGGATTATCCTTTTTCAATTAAAGTCCAATTGGGCTTAATGAGTAAGAAAAGCCTAAGTAACCTAAGGTTAAGGTTTTTTGCCACCCATATATATTCTTCTCTTTTAATTATCACCTGCTACTCTTCTTCTGCTACTGTTGTTGTTGAGATAAGGTCATCTTTCTGAAAGTGATAGAGTGCCACACACCATCCCCTTCCCCCCTAAAGAGATAGTCTGAAAGGTCTGCCATTGGCCAGCCTCTACAAGGAGATCGTTCGTGCTGCAATGCAGATGAGATCAGTTCGTGAAAGAAGTTCACCTACAATGGGATCACTTAAGAGGTATGCCTTGTGTGTTTGTGAGATGATGATAATTCGATAAGCATACAAATTTACTAGATAGTAAAATCGCTTCCGCATAAATCTAATCATTCCTTCAATTGGTATCAGAGCCATGGTTGTGACATTTGTTTGTGATTCTAGTCTTACTATTCATGTAATTAGTTTGCTTCATGAAATATGGTACCTAGGATTCTATATTTGTTGGTTATATGATTTGTATGTGTATCTTTTATAATTTTTTTCATAAAAATTTATGCTTTTATTTTGGTTTTTGATTTTTGGCTTTTAATCCATGGTAGAGATTTTAGTGTATTCTTTTAGGACTGTAACAAGGGGACTAATCCTTTGTGATTAGGTTTTTTCCATGTTTTCATTTGAATTTTGGTATATTTTTCAAATTTTTGTAAAAGTGTAATGAAAAGAATATCGAAAAGAAGACAAAACAACGACATTAAGATCTGTTTGGACGTGTTCGTGACCTTCTGGTGGCCGATCGGAGAAACCAACCTCGTGGCATGATAGATGATAAAATTATGAGAAGAAAGGTGGCCGGAACAGTAGGAATGGTCGCCATAAGTGCCTGCACATGGGCCTCACTCGCGAGCAAATATGAAGCGCATGAGGGTGCATGGAGAGTCTTTTTCTGGTGCTTCCAGCGCGGCGTGTCCCTCTATTCATGGCGGTCCTGTCGAGGAATTTTGTGATAGGATGACTTCATGTGACGGCACATTGGATGAGAAGGCCAGGGTTCCTAAAAGTTGACTTAGGGTTTCTTGCCAAGGTTTAGTATTTTGGGCTCTTAGGCCCATGGTTACCATAAAGGGGCTTGAACCACATTCCTCTGGACTAAAAGGAAGGACGAGATGGATAGAAGTGTTTTTTTTTCTTATTTTGTAATTTTTATTTTATTTTTCTATAGGGAATCATGTATTAGAGTCTAGTTTATAATTGTTTTATTTGAATGAGTGGATGAATTATATAGTTTGACAGCCGGGAACTGAGATCCTGAACCTTGACCTCCAAGTCAGTCTTCGCTTTAAAAGCTCCTCCCTCAACTTGGAGAGCTCGCCCACCTTAATAGAAAGTGTCAAACAGGAAATGTTGGACAAGTTGAGTCTCTGATGAAGATCCTGAAAAGATTGAATCAGAGAATTCATCTTTAATGACTCCTCTTCCATCCGAGCTAACATAGATTGCATGTCGGCATTAAAGGGTTAACCTCCCATCAATTGAGGAGGAGGCTTCAAGGCAACACGGAGATGATCAGAAACTCCAGTCTTCCATAATTCCCCAGGCTCTAAAAACACAACTTCTCCAAAGGGAGTGTTAGGAGGAGAAGAGGGAGGTGGAGACAGAGCAACCTGAGAAGTGACGACATTCGTATTAACGACCTCGGCAGTCGAACTACCACCTACAAGGTCAAGTCGCCTTTTCTTTGAAGCCTTGCCAACAGGGTCAGTTTCAGCCGACTTTCCTTTCGACGAGCCCTTCTTCTTATATACTTCTTATAACCATAGCTTGTCATATTTACTGCAATCAAAAGTTTGATTAGAAAGCAGCTCTAAGAACAAAAAAGACATGATAAAACACAGCATAGACGGGATCACCTACCAAGTTCGTAAAGAAGGTCATCTCTGGATTTATCTACCATATGAATTAAGTCGAAAATGTCGCAGTCCTCAACATAAGCCATCAGGACTGTGAAGCTAAGTCTCTCTTCATCAGAGAGCGAAGGATCACGAGTTGTATAATCCCTAGGTCACCTAAGATAATGATTCTGACTCCAATAAAACTCAAACCGAGCAGATAAATAATAACCCTCAAGCATATCAATGGCAAACCAAGGATAGCAACCGGGATGGATTGCCACCTTAAAATAGTGGTTTTTAAAACCCTTGAAAGATTAGGTGAAAGGTATGAAGATTCTCCGATTAGGCGCGCTGCGAAGAGTGATCCAACATTTTCTTTGTTTGACCTCGGCTCTAGACCGAGATATATGTATATATTAAACAAAAAGAAGAAGAGAGAAATCATGCACGGAAGGTTGAGATAAGTGCACATCTGCTTGAAACCTCGAACAAAGGCCCATAAGTTTGGATGAAGTTGCGTGGGAGCAACGTGAAGTATGCGAAGCACGACCATTTGGAGAAAGGGGGAATCAGATTCCCACCTTAGTAATCAGATCCTATTAAAAGAAGAAAAAATTGGGCTCGTCTTAACTTAGACCCGCACACACCGGCATGAAGAAGGTTGACCTCGGCAGTATTTTCCACGGGAAGATCGGCAATATCCTTTAATGAGATCACATGTGGAGAATTTCCAACAGCACCCAGTCCTGATTGTCAACCTCTTCGACCACATTTGAAGGCCCTACCATTAACGACCTGGAAAAAGAAGGATGAGAGTCAACACAAATATAACATACATCCGAACTCCTTCTACCAAGGTCGGACATAGAAAGGTCGAGTTCTATAACACCTCGTAATTCTAAAACATATATTTACATAATAAATGTGGATTAAAGGGTAGGATTGGTGAAAATCCTGAAATTAAGGTTAAAATACAAAGGAAGGGTAAAATGGTAAATTTCCAAACATGTAACCGTAGGAAAGTAAAATTGAGTAAAAGGTCTCAAATGGGAAAACTAACCCTGGAAATGGATTCAGAACGGAAAATTGAGTGGTTAGACAAGTTTTTGAAAATTTGGTGAATAGTATTTTTATCGGGTAAAAATATCGCGGTACAGTTGCATC